AAAACTCACCCGAGCCCTCGAGGCTCCAAACCAAACATGCACGTAAGTCTAAAAATATCATACGGACTTTCTCGTACGATCAAATCGCCAAAATAACATCAACAACTACGAATTTAACCTCAAATTCATGAAATTCATAAGATAGCTCAAAATTTCTATTTTCTCAACCAAGGGTCCGATTTATATCAAATCAACTCCGATTCTTACCAAACTGTACAGATACGACTTAACTATTATCTTAAACCTGTACCGTGCGCCGGAACCAAAATACGGACCCGATACCATCAAGATCACACACCATTTCATTTTCAAAAGTCCTTATATTTTTCAGCACATAATTTTCTTTAAAAATTCTTTTCTCGGGCTAGGACCTCGAAATTCGATTCCGGGCATATGCCTAAGTCCCACATTTTACTACGGACCGTCAAATCACGGGTCCGGGTCCGTTTACCAAAAATGTTGACCGAAGTCAATTTTAATCAATTTTAAAGACCAAATTCAATATTTTTCTTAGATTTCACATAAAAGTTTTCCGGAAACGCGCCCGGGCTGCACACGTAAATCGAGGAGATAACAAAAGAGGTTTTCAAGGCCTCGGAACCCAAATTCGGGTTTTAAAACAAAAGTTGGGTCATCACAGTCGTATTTTCAATTTCGTAAATCCGTATAGCTAATCCCTCATCCGCAACTGTATGGGAGAAAAGCAACATTTGAGGCTGCTCGATTGGTAGTTAGAAGTTGAACCTAACATGTTTTTCAGAGTTAATTTGCACGTTATCCAGGCTTAGGTCGCTGGATCTGTCTTAAAGACTAACAACAAACATGTCGTCTATTCATCCTGTTTTTGTAGCTAGAATACAAGGACTGAAGTATATTTGGTTGTACAACAGATATAACTTTAAGATTTGGCTTTTTATATGGTGGAGAAAATATTAGCACTGCTTCATAATTATGATAGATAATTAGATAAAATAAAACTCCATGGTGCACTGACTCCACAGTGATGTTAAAGTGTTCAGAAGGAAACTGCTAATTTCACAAATTGGAATGAGAATATTTCTGCAGTGTTTGAAGCTTGATAATCAATCTATATATGATATGACCCAATATGACTTTAACTATCTTGGCTTAGTAGAGTCTGTATATAGTGTAAATAATTCTTATAATAGTAATATTCCTCTATCTTTTTTTTTTTTTTTTTAT